GATTCATCGAGAATAAGAGAGAAAGAAGGACAGTCAGATAGAGGACTGGCCCAACTACCTTTGGATCCTAATGGGCCCCATTGGGGTGCTCGAATATTCTTTCGCTATCTTCGGACATCTTCGCCGTGAGATTTGTAATCGAGGCGAGCACTGTTTTTTTGACATTCCCTCAAGTACCTGCTGCTCCTTAATTTTCGATGTCCACTGGTTGTACGAATTAAAAAACCAACCAGTATCCATTTCATTCCTTGCTGATCCATTCTCGAGGAACGAATCGTGATCTATTTACGCGCCAATGCAATTTATGCATTTGAACGTTCGATTAGGCAAGTCTGGCAGACATGAGTCGCCGGTGTATACATATTATCACGAATCTATCTTCTGATTCTGTTGCAATCGTTTAAGGCAATTGCAATCGCTCGATTATTTCCTTTATATGGGCAACAAGCTGATAAAAATGCTCGCAAAACTGTGAGGCCATCCATTGACAATACGACGATAGTTCCTCTAAGAAGATACATAACCAATGCATGCGCAATCTTCCCGTATGTTGGACCCCGTTCCGCATAAATGATTCACCGTTCTCTACCAACGTTTGCCAGGAATCGTACGCGCTCTATTATCCGGCAAAGTTTCGCAATACACGTATAATTATATTCTACGTATTCTATGTATTCCCAGGCTTGCCCTCGCGCCAATCGTATCCTCCAATTTACTTTCGCGATCGTTGTTCCTCCGATTTAATATCTCTATTTTTGTTTAAAGTTCGAAATGGTGAACCGGTATAGGTATAACCGATCTGAGTAAAACTTCATGACCGGTACTCATGAAGAAGTTTCGCAACTCGTTGTGTCCGGTGGATCAGCTTTCCGCTCAAGTACCACCTAAATTTATTCCACGAACGTTTCGCGCATTCGAAAACCTTCGCATTGTCCATGGAATATTATGTGATTTCCACGTTTTTTGGCAAATAAACGCGTGACTTTTACCGATTTAAAATAAGCGAGAATAAAAAACGAAGAGAGAGAGAAAGAAAAAAGAAAAAGAAAGGACGAGTATAAATATAAAATATAAAATAATCTAAACTATATAATTTGCGAAACAAGAAAAACTTTTTAATATAGCTGAAAGATGACGTAACTTTGTTTTGCGGCGGAAGATACACGTTACTAGCTATTCAAAGTTTTCTTCGAATTTCGGTGAAAAGATGCATCGTTATCCTCTTTCTTTCCTCTTGTTTGCAAAGACGTAATCGTCGCGAGCAGCACGCCTTACTTTGTAAGCAACCGTGACAAGTGTAGACAGCCGCGGCAATTATTTGCACAATAACTCACGTTCTTAATATCAACAAATAAACTTCACACATGCGCGGCATCAGTTTTTAATTTTTTAATTCTTTCTCTTTATCGAAATCTTTTTCTTATTTTTCAATCGGTTTTTCCTTGATTCTCCGCTTGATTCTCCCAACGATCGACGTTCAAGTATCGTCTAAAATATTTTTCGTAATTTAATTCGTAATTAATTCGATACATATTCGCAAAAAGAAACAAAAAAAATTCGAATTCTACGCGTGATATAACTACTTGAAAGTTCTCATAGATATTGTTATCGATGTAAATGCTCTTAGTCACTTGAGAGGTTACGAAATGGAGGACTGGTAACGTTGTCGCTCGTCGTGATAATTCAGCTTGACTTTTGCGTCGGTCAAATCGAAAGCAATGAATTATCCGCAACTACTTAAAAGGGATCTATTACATCGAATAATTACGATCTTCGTGACATTATAGCGTGCTATAATGTCGTCCCAGGACCTAGTTTGTTAAAGGAGACGCTTATCGATACTCGATGGTTCGCGACAAAATTTGTCTCATTAATATGTTAAGAAAACATATTTTCCATATTATGATTATCGATAATATCTTTTTGAATCGATACGAAATTTTCAACACGATCGTTTCATAGCGATACGATATAATGAGTTGTAGAAATGTACTTTTTAACAACTATAGACGTTTCTTACTTATCTCGTCCAATTACGATTTCTTTCGAAGGAATATTTGAAAAGTAATAGGTTCGAAAGAAGAGGATTGGAACAGTCGTGTCGATTTTAACGAGGTACCGCAAACAGGTACGGGTGATCGTAGATGGCGGCGATTTAATCGCAGTTCTTTCAACTGCGAAGTTGATTTGCGATCAACGAAGCTATTGTGTTCCCCAAAAAGGATCTGTCGCAGCTGAAAATAGTGCCAACGGAATAACTCTTTCTGCTGCTTATTATTTGCCTCGTTAAAATTGTTGAAATATCGATGAAAAATAGTAATTCAAATTTACGCGATGAAATTAAAAAGAAAAGAAAAGAGCATTGACAAGAGAAAAATTACGATCGATTAATAACCGCGTAATTCCTTAATCACGTTGATCTTGGACGGGACGGATCGATCGATTGGAATTCTTTATTTTCAACTTCGGAGTTGGCTTACCAGCTATCAAGCGAAATACCTGTTTGAGGGAAAAAATCCGTCTGTAAATAACTTCGAGAAAGCTGTGCAATCTTCGTTCATACCATAGTACCTTAACTGTTTTAACGGCTGCGAAGAAGTTCAGACGGAGCGAAACAGCGAAGGGCAAGCAGAAAAATCGAGAAAAAGGGACGAACGAGCGTAGGTATATCCGGATGATCGTGTGTAAAGGCAAAGGCAACATTGCTTGTCGTGAGATAGAGACGGAAAGTACAACGACGGCTTAACATATATAAGTGGCGAACAAGGAGGGAACAGAGACGAAGAGAAAAGATGCGAGGAAAGGGGAAAGAAGAAGTGGATGACAACGAAAGATGAGGATGACTATGATGATAACGACGATGATAATGATAATGACGATGATGATGAGGAGAAGAAGGAAGAGGAGAAAGAAGAAGAAGAAGAAGAACAGAAGAAGAAGAAGAAGATGATGATGATGAAGAAGAATAAGATGAGATTTTCTGTTGGAGGGTTTGCCGAGGGGGTCCAGACCAAGCTCCATCTGCATAACCGGTATATACCGGCAATGTAGACTGGCATGAAGGTAGAATCGAGCATGTCCTCGGCACGTTATATCGCTCCCCTCGTCCTCGTACGATACGAAGTGTAGAGACCTCGAGCCAGTGGATAGAAGAGAAGCGAAAGGTACAGCTAAGAAGAGAAGCGAAAAGGGGAATCGGTAGTGGAGGTTGGGTCTTCGTGTAGAGTGGCTCCAAGAACGAGCACACGCGGTATCCCTGCCAGTGAAACTGGTAGAGAGAAAAGCGTAGGCGCGAGTATCCGCCGACCGATGACATCATCGGTGTTCTGCCTCGAGTCATTCTCTCGGCAGAAGCTTCTCTTTACTCTCGAAACTTTTTGGCGAACTCTCCTACTCGGAACGATCTCGATTTTTCTTCAAACGTATGGGCATTTCCGTTCCCCGTCAGTACGAAGATAATTAGATTCTCCCCTTCTCGATCTTTTCCATTCTTTTTAATTCGGATTATCAACCGACGATATTATCCAAGTCTCTTCAAAAATTTCTTTTTGTCCCCTTCAACATCCTGAAAAAATGCGAACAAATTAAATTATGCGAAATTATGCGAAAAAATTATAATACCAAGAGTCGCAATACGATTGTAAAACGTACCTTAACTTATCTTGTCGTTCGGAGACTTCAACACTTCCAGACCCGCAATCGCAATGTCGATTTCTCGACAACGCCATATACTTTTAATCCGCTTCGAATTCATTTTCAACGAATAAAATTCTTTTCTTTTTTTTTTCGACCAAATATAATAATTATAATACAAAATATCTCTTCTCTTCGTTCCTTATATGAAAACATCAACTCAATCGTATCGTAGAATCCGATCGGGTACAACAGTTTTTCGAAGATCGTTAACTTAAACAGAATGAAGCTGTTAACCTGGCGGATTAGCCTTTCAGATTCCTAATCGTATGGAAATGTGAAACGGTATCGCTTAGAAAACGTTAGACTAAATTCTCTCGTGAAACTATCAACACGTTTATTCGTTCTGTTCCGCGATCTCTTTTTTCGTATCCTCTGCAACGAAACAGGTTTAAAAGGCTCGTCGATCGCATCGAGGATACATTTCCACACATGTTTACGGTATGAGAGTGTCAAAAGTTTACCGGGGCGGGAAACGTTGATTGGGGAGAAAGATTGGGGAAAACAAATGGGTTCAAGAAGTTTCTTCAGCTTTTGCATAAAACATATAACGAATGGAACGATTCTGCAAAATTAAAAGACAGAATTTTGCTTTATTATTATAGAAAACTATCATAGAAATTTCAAGCACCATTTCGTAACGAAGAATACGTAATTTTTGAAATCAATTTCGTCGCCTTCGATATTTCAACCGTATATTTTACCGTGATCTGCAAGCTTCGATCGGATAAGGCTTCGTAAAAACTTTGTGCACAATACACGATGGTATTACCCAATGAACACATACACGAGGAAACACGAGAATACGAAATATTCGTGAAGGAAATCGGCACGGAGAAAAGCAACAATCTCTATAAGAAAACGCGGGAGCGTTGGAAATCTCTCAAACTCGAAACCTGTGCCGGGACGGTCACGAATAAGGGGCGAGACATCCATAAACTTACTTTAGACCTCGGGGCTCACGGGGGTTCTGGGTAGGTTTTTCTTTTTACCGGGCCAGGCAGGTGCGAACCGATTTCTATAGTCTTCTCCCGGTAACGGCCGTCTTTCGTGCCAACGGTCCAAGTTTTACGGCGGCTTCCGTTGAACAAATCTTGTCATGTCCAATCAAGGAAAAACGCTTTCATTCTTGGTTCAATCGATGGTTTTACATTTCTTTTTTTTTTTTTTTTTTTTTTTTT